AAAATGAGAAACAAGAGACCAAAAAATGCAGATGAGCTGAAGGCCACTGTCAAAGAAACCTGGGCTTCCATACCACCTCAGCAGTGCCACAAACTGATCACCTCCATGCCACGCCGAATTGAGGCAGTAATTAAAGCAAAAGGAGCCCCTACCAAGTATTGAGTACATGTACAGTAAATGAACATACTTTCCAGAAGGCCAACAATTCACTAAAAATGTTTTTTTTTATTGGTCTTATGAAGTATTCTAATTTGTTGAGATAGTGAATTGATGGGTTTTTGTTAAATGTGAGCCAAAATCATCACAATTAAAAGAACCAAAGACTTAAACTACTTCAGTCTGTGTGCATTGAATTTATTTAATGCACAAGTTTCACAATTTGAGTTGAATTACTGAAATAAATGAACTTTTCCACGACATTCTAATTTATTGAGATGCACCTGTATGCTTCAGACACGGGTCACGTCGAGGCGTTCCCCATAGCGACCCCTAGAGGACGCAGTTCGAAGTTCCCTTGAAAGGGAACAAGAGTTTTCTTGCATTATACAAGTTTTCTGATGTCAAATGATGGCTTTGAATAAACAAAACTTTCATTTAAAGTCACTTCGTAAAATTGAAGATGTTATTTGCTATTTTTTCCCTCCTCCACTGCAGCTTGGAAATCTCAATCCCGATTGTGTTTAGTTTCAAGAATGGCACCTCATGTGCTAATTTTTACATCACTGATGCAAAAAAATAAATACATTTTGATAATATACATGACGTGTCAGTTTCAAATAATAGGGATGAAGAATGAGGTATGAGAGATGAAAAGAATAACAGCATATACACAGTAGGTTTGAACTGACATGGGGGAAATAATGACGGAAATGTCATTTTTAGGTAATCTATTCCTGCAAATAATACATTTTAAGAATTAAAATTTGTCATTTTCAAATAATGACATATGCTGACAATCAATATTGTTTTTATTTGTCTTTATTATGCAAGTATGGTCCGTACTCATACAGCACCAACACAACACAGTGGAGAGAAAATACTTTGAAGATGCAGCATCCATGCATGAATTTTGAACCAGTAATCACACACACTCACACTTACACAAACTAAGGCCACTTCTCTGAATAGAAGACTGTACGTTTCACATACGACAGCGGCACACCTTTTATTGTCAAGATGAAAGTCACAAACATACACTCATCATCTAGGCTGTTTTCTTATGTATAGACTGACTCAACGTTAAACATATAAGTTAATACTTTGGTCAATTCAGAGATACTGTACTGTGTATTTCCAATGAGACTGGATGATTGGAAATGCCACATCTCTCATTTTCCATCTGCGTTCTGTATGAACTCTCTCTCCTCTGCTGCACAGTTTATTGGTAAACATTGCTCTCCTCCACTCTTTATCTTTTTGTATTTTTATTTTTTCTCTGTTGCCCCTTTACTGAGCCGCCGAGGCCTCGGTTTTCCCCCCAGTAGTCACCAACTGTATGAGGCTGCCTGAGGCTGGCCGGCCTGACCCAGTGGCCCAGCTGTAGAAGGTTCTGGAGAGACAGAGAGAGAGGGGGGGATTGAGAGGCAGGTGTAAAATGATGGTGGTGCACGCTGGATAGAGAGAGAGCTAGATAATGAGAACAGAGATGGGAGGCGGGAGACCGAGAAAGGAAAATAAGAACCGAACGACAAGCCTTGTCTACTCTGGAACATTCGGGAGAAACTGTAGATATTTTAGCGCACTGTAGCAACTGAAGTGAGACTACACATTAATTACCTCTAACACAAAGACTATTTATACTCCTCCATCACTCATGTGCTTCTGTAATCCAGCTGGGTTTGCTGCGGCTCTTCTGGAATTATGGAGTTGCATCAAATCCTCATCCTAATCTGTGTTGACTGGCAGGAGAGATTTGGCCATACTGGCCACATCTGAGTGAGGCAGAGAGATATGCTAAAAAAAAGTACAATCGCTCACAGCGCTAATTTTTAGCACATTTTTTGAGAGGCATTTGCGTTAATATCAATTCCACTGAATATAAATGCATGCATTTCTCTAAGAAGTCTGTTCTTGGGTTGATGCTTGACATTATTCACTTAAATTCGGATGTAATTCAATCATTCATGCAGGGTATGTTTGCTTCTAAGAGGCTTTTACTATTGCCTGTGGCTTTGTTGGTGAATATTACTGAATCAAATCAAATGTAACATCTGAGGAAGGTTTTTAAGACCTGATTTAAAACATTTCTATTATCTGAAAGCGATATTCTCTGTTGAACTCAAATCTGGTATAACAATAATTCTAACATGAGACCTACATGAAATAATTCATAACAATGGATTTTGGATTAATGTGTATTTCAAAATATTCAGATCATTGCTGAATGACATGCTGCAGACATCAGGTCTCTTTTGGAAGAACATTACTGCCCTCTTCTGGTGAGAAATGCCCACTTTCTGCTTTATCCAGTTGTTGAGGCTTCTATTTTCCAAACAGGTCAAATCTGCGATTTATGACATTATCAGCAAGCATAATGAAATCTGGTGCTCAGTGGACATGATAAATGTGAACTCACTCTGCGATGTATTCCAGCGGTGTCCAGCTCCCAAAATCTGCATCGGGCATGAATTTCCTGTTCATTGGTGTATCCAAGGTAACCCTGGAGGATGATGTCATAATGTTGTTATCTCGGTGGAAGATGAGACTGTGGAACAGAGCCTGCGGCAATAGCTTAGACTAGCATGGCCTTTTGAAAAAAACTCACACGCCATATGTTGAGTTAATGTAAACAGACAGCAGTCAAATGTGTACCACGCAGATCACTAACAGGACAAATGACTGCAGATGCTCACACATCAAAAACAAAAGAAAGAGAATTCATTGATATATCACATATGTGCAACACAGATCAATGAATAATAAAAGACAGGCCTCAAAATTGACCCTATTTCCTTTCTTCATGCTCATATTTGGTGTTATTGAGAATATGTTGATGCACATTATTTAAAAAAAAAAAAAGTAATAAATTGCTCCGGATCTGATATCAGGTTAAATGTCCTGTTTCACTGTGAAATGTGTCATGTTATGGAAGTGAAATGAGTTGTGAATGCCTTCTTGCGCTGACTTTCATGAGAACATTATTGTACCAATAATGTTGGTTAATAATTACTAATGAATAATTTCACTACTGTTCAAAAGTCTGGGGTAGCAAGTTTTTTTTTTTTACAAAATTAATACTTTTATTGTGCAATGATGCATTTAATTGATCAAAAGTGACAGTAAAGCCATTTATAATGTTACAAAATATTTCTATTTCAAATAAATGCTGTTTTTGGAACTTTCTATTCAACAAAGAATCCTGAAAAAATGTATCACGGTTTCCACAAAAATATTAAGCAAAACTACTTTTTTCAACTGTGATAATAATGATAAATGTTTCTTGAGCAGCAAATCAGCATATTAGAATGATTTCTGAATTATCTTGTGACACTGAAGACTGGACTAATGGCTGCTGAAAAATCAGCTTTGCATCACAGGAATAAATGACATTTTAAAATATATTAAAATAGGCAACATTATTTTTGTAATAATATTTCACAATATTATTTGTACTGTATTTTTTATTAAATAAATGAAGGCTTGGTGACCATAAGAGACTTCTTTCAAAAATATATAAAAAAAAATCTTACTGACCCCAAACTTTCAAACGCTAAAGTAACATTTGAGCTAAATGTACCCTAAATACACTTCTTTAAGAAGTACTCAATATTTTCACTTTGATCTTGGGAGGAAGCATAACTAAAACAGACAGATCAGTGTATATAGACAGATATGATAGATTGACAGATGCTCTTACGGAAGAATGGCCACAGCTACAGATCCAGATGGAAGACCGCTGTTCTCGCCAGCCAGACTCTTGCATAACTGATGGACTGCAGCCTTGGCCATGCCGTACCCAACCATGCCTGCATCCAAAGGGAAACATAAAGCAGTGAATGGAGCACAGAGCCCTCTTCACATGTTGAGTGCTGCAGCTCTCGCTCCATAAAGCAGACTATGGGACACAATGCATGTGCACACAGCACTTGAGAGCATGCCAACTACACAATTTGTCTAACAATGTCTCACAGGCAACAGCTGTTGCTTTGAATTTGGTCAATAATCATTTGGTTGGATGCCTCAAGCAGAGAATAAAATGGATTTTGCAATACAAAATAAGCTAATTGAATGCGATTCCTCCTACACACAGTCAGACTATTTTTTTCTCACCAGTGAAACTCTATGTGCAGAAATACCAGTCACATCAGGGGTCACATCATGAGGAATTAAATTAGATTTTCCAATGTACTTTGACACTTAAATTGTAACTTAAACTTTACACAGGGTGCCTACACAGAAATCTTTTAGGAACAGCAAAAGCAGTTCAGTATAACTGTAAGGCTCAGTGAGAGAGTGGAAATGTAGTTTTTAAAATACTATTAAAAAATTATTTCCTCACTGTCTATACTAGCAGCATTTTAAGCTTTGATATACAGTATATATATATTTAATTTTACTTATCATTATAATTATGTTCTTATCAATCTGGGTGGGGGTGGATGGGGGAAAGAAAATTGTAAAATGAAAAAAGGAATATTGTTTACAAACAAATTTTGTATAATGTACATTTTTCAGTTCTTTCTGCAATAAAAGAAGTTAAAAATATTTATGATTTTTAAGTACAAAATTTTGTATTATATTATAAGTGGACCTCAGGGAATAAATGAAAAAATAAATAAATTATATGATATGATCCCTTTCAAATGCCAAAGAACAAATGTTAATATAAATTGATGATTACTGGGAGTACTCTGGAAATTTTTAAAATAATGTTTGTTTGAAGTGTGTTTGTCTTTCCAGCTCCCCCTCTCTAGATGTTTGTTGGCTTGGCATCTGGAATCAATAACCAGCATGCATGATGTACTAAATGCTACTTTTTTTAAAGATTTTTTTTTTCCAGCCTCAAACCCAAAATGCATGACAGCTGTTCCAAGAAACACCCTTTAAACACACAGAGGCAATAAGAAAGAGGGGTGGAGAAGCCCCTCTTTCTTATATTTCATATTTTTTATTTTATTTTCAATATTCTCTAAAACTTGAGAATTCAGTGTTTTGTGATCGTTTCAGCCATGCTGCATGACCCCTCATAACTGAATGAACTTTGTGGGTCACAATTTTAATCACATGCTCTATCCTTCAGGATTTGGCTTAAACTCTCTTTGGTATGTCTGATTTCCAGACTGAACTTCAGCTTTGAGGTCAGTTGAACCCAGCATACCCAGCATACCGGAATTTTGCAACTATCTCAGCTTAGCACAGATTTTATGCTTTATAGTATATATTTATATAATATATAATTTAAATGTATAATCAAAACATATTTTATAGAATATAACAAAAAATAAATGAATTTAAAATGCAACATTACATATTCTGAGGGTTTGGGTGGGATTTATTTATTATTATTATTATTATTTTTAATTTCCCATTTTAATTTAGATTGGGTTTTACCATTAGGATGTTGTTTCTTTCATGCTTTATTGTAAGCAATTGTAGTTTTTGTTTTTGCATGTTTTTTGTAATTAAAGATTTTTTTTTTGTTAAATTACAAATGAAAATATTTAAACACAAAATGCAACATTACTTAGTTACTCAGTTAGCTACTTAACCATTACTACAGCTGACATTACTATCATAAAAGCTGTCTTAATTTACCGTCATAAGAGTACTAGTTTTTCAGCTTGTGGTGTGACTAGTAGCACGTGATACTGATTATGTACGGTTGTAAGAGCTGACAGCCATATCAGAAATGTTCACCAGAGCCTGCTCCTGTCTCTTTGAACAAGATACTTCAAACGTTCCAACTAGAGGTTCCCTTCATATCATATCAAAGCAGTGTTCCTCGCTGCAGGGCATTTCCTGTTAAAATCAGTTCTGTGTGGGTAAGGAATACAGACTCCTAAACACAGTCCACATGTGTTCCTGTCTCCAAAAAACCTGCTGACTCATTCCCCCTCCCTGGCCCCTCAGCCAATGAGAGCAGTCTGCTGATGCTGGAGGTTTTGAATAGGCTGGAGGCGACCTCTGTTGTGTGCTGTATTGAGTTTTGTCACTAAAGGCATAATGACATGAGTTGAACATTTCACATCTGGGGCTATGAAAAGATTTGGGATGTGAGGCAATACGTGAAACTGATCAAGTACAATGGAAGTGACAGCCAATTCAATACTACATACACATTCAATGGAAGGGAAAATGCTCTTGCTGTTATAAATGAACATTATTACTGACTTCACCCACCTAAGGGAAAACCTCATGAAGACTGAAGTGTTTTCCTACATAAACAATATTATTTAGCCACTCTGGGGGTATAAATGCACCTTTTACGCAAGGAACATCAAATTTTGAAGTGTCCTCAGGTAAACCTGTACTGAAAATACATTTACAACGTGTTTTCCAGTAGGCGACTCATCTCAGGAGTATAAGGATGGATGCTCCTGCTGTACCTGGAGTGCCTTCCAGTGAGGCCTTTGCTCCAGAGACGGTCAGCAGGCCTCCTGGCTTCAGGTGGAGCGATGCAAGATGACTGGAAATGGTGGAGGTCCAGACACTCTGTTTCCACATCATATCAGAGTTCTTATACAAGTCTAAAACAAGTAAGAGAGAAAGAAAGTTTATTTTATTCCAGCAAAACCAATTATATTATGAACTGATTGAAATCTACTATAAAAAATAACCTAGGAGAAAAAAGCTTAAATGCCCCCAAATACTGTATGTAGCAGACATGAAGGTATCAAATGGACCATCAATAAATATTCATTAGCTTCCCTTGAGTTGTGAAATGTCAAATAAGCAGGCTCACACAGAATTTGCACCCTCTTTCTTTGTCATTCATAAAATTTTACAAATCTGTTAATTACATTTTTACAAATGTATTAATTTTTCTAATTTGCTTTCATCTACTAATAAGAGTGTAGTACTCTCAGCTCTGTTTAACACATTTTACCATGTTCCACAGAAAATGCAACAAATAAATTAATATATATCAACACATAAACAAATAAAAAAATAACAAAGATCAATTAAAAATAAACTTAAAATTACAACAATAAAAAAAGAAAATCTGCAAATTCTGTCTAGTATGACAAATAAATATGCTGACCTTTTGAGCTACAGCTTCCTCCAGCCCATCCTCCTGCCACACAAACAATAGCATCAACCTTGTGTTTCCCCAGCAATGTGGCTACATCCGATGTCACCTGCATCAAATAACCTTATTGATGAGAAAATACTCTACTAGGCTCTATTACAACAGTACTTAGTTACAGTTTATTGAAAACAACAGTGCAAACATAATGCACAAAGACTCTACAAATGACAAGGCCAATTCTGACCCTCAGTTTTACACTTGTAATTTGTACCCCTGGGTTATGATCCAGAGTTAAACAATGAGGTGATAGAATGTTACAGCAAGTTGTTCTGAAACTGACAATCAATCATAATCTGTCTCAGTAAATACCTCATTAAATATGTATGTGCCTTGTACATTCAAAGAAACATTCATACAAAAGCAGAACATTGACAGCAAGCACGTTAACTGGAGTGACGAAGAAGGTTTATAATGGCCCAGGGTTAGTAATTTCAAGTGTGAAAGCGCAATAGTGTTAGAAGACCATAAGAAGAAAGACACAATGCTGTGACACAAGGAGGACAGCTCCAATGGGTGCCATATAACTGAGACTATTATTAACAGCATCTGAAGTCAATGGCAGGCACAATAAGGCGAATAATGAGAAAAAAGTGCTTGTCCAGAACACTGGGGATGTCATGGCAAGACAGGAAATTACTTTGGCAGTGTAAATGGAAAGTAAATGGCAGCATGACAGGCAATTTAATAAGCCCTATGTGTTGACAGACACATGGCGAGGTGACGTCAGGACTTTGGCTCCACCCACCTGAGCAGCTTGATCAGTGAATGACTCGGAGAGTTTCACCAGAACGTTTGCGTTCGCTTCTTCATTCGCCACGATGTCAATACTGGCAACCCACTTTAACATAAAAGAAACACGTTTCAGCTATGCCACAAGTTATAAATACATGCTATTGAAATAAACATGCAAGCATAATAATGCAAAAGCAAAGTCCAGTCGCATCAACAGGTATCAGTTTCAGCACACGCACCAACTCACAGTGACTCGGCTCCTATAGAACCATAATAAAGAGGCGTTTCTACTCACCCAGCCTTTTGACTTAAAATAATGCACACATGCCGAGCCGAGAGCTCCTTTTCCTCCGTAAACAAGCACACGGTTCGCAGCTGCCATGGCTTTTCTCCGCTGTGAGACGCTTCAGCAAAGATGATGAGTATCCTTTCAGCGCAGAGAGAGAGAGAGAGAGAGAGAGAGAGAGAGGGTGGGATACACACGCGCTTGTGTAGCGTAATGATTGGTCAATCCGACATTCCGCCCTAAACTCTACAGAAAATGAAAGCCATCTGTAGAGAAGATGAAGGTAAAACTAAGCCCTAACAATTATAACGAAAAGTAAAAAAAAGGCTTTCTGCTGATTAACATCACCTCGCATTAGAAACCCAGCAGCCTACCTACAGTAGATGTCACATTTTTGACTCCCGTGAATATTTTTCAGGGTATTTTTATTTATTTATTATAATTTTTTTTTTGTAAAAGCGTTAACATTTCTCCATTATTACCCAGAAGAACAAAACAAAACAAAAACAATAAAAAAATACAACTTTCCTCATCCTGACACTTGACAAATAGCCTACTAATATCTATTAATTTATTACAAAAAAATGTCAATATTTTACCTTAATGTAAATTTAGAACTTTTAATAGGCTACATAGGCTAATAGTTAAATGTTTCTAATTATTATAGGCTGTATTTGAATAACTACAATAGGCCTATCTAGAAATTGAAACCAACATTATTGCCCTTTAAGCATGTAGATAATAAAGTACAAAGTTCTCTCATCTCATTTGCCAAGTCATGGTGATGTAACTTCAGCAAGCCTTGCTGTTGGCTACAAGCAAAATCAAAATCGGCGGAGAAGAGATAAAAAATAAATAAAAGGAACAGGGAAACACTTTATGCTTTACCCAATTACACATGCAGTGGCCAAAGGTACAGACTACTGTAAGTCACTCTGTTGCTACACAAGTCATTTCACACTTTTCTTACACATTTTATTTAATATTCAGTTTGTTCCAATTACTTTTTCCCTAAATAAATAAAGTGAAATGAATGGGGGTGTCAAAGTACCCGAAGAACCAAGAGCAAGATATAGCAGCCATTAGCTAAGGATGGTGATGAAAAAAATGTGCTGATAAGTCAATGATAGTAAACAATGTAAAGTTGCAAGATTACTTCATAAATTTGATCTGTAGTTATTTTCTAATCTAATTCACATGCAGTAGTGTAAAGCTTCATGCAATTTGATTAATTGAATTTAATACAAAGTTGAATATGTCTGTTTTTACCACAAGAGAGCAGCATACTACTGTGAAGAATCAGCGACGCACTTCCCATGTGCTCCTGAGCAGGGGCGTCGCAAGCGAGGGAAAGATGGGACCGAGAACAGGGGGGTCCAGAGCCGATTTCTACCAAGATGTTGCTTAGTATGTAGTTCAGTATGATCTAATATGCATACTATAAGCACTATCCATTAAGCATTGCAGCCTTAAGTTATGTGTCAAAGATCACCAGTCTAATTGTATATGCTTTTAAAGATAGATGTTATCTATGCATCTTCAAAAGACAACATCAGCAGCATATTGCCACGGATGGATTGTGGGTTTCATATTCAAACGCTGGGGTCTCAACAGGCAGCGGAGCAGAGTTATTAACCCCAAAAGGAAGCCTCTCTGTTTGAACCTATGCTCTCTCTACATTCAATATTCACCAAAGAGTTTCTTCAGGCTCTGCAGGTCCCCGGAGTGAGTGATGAATACATTAGGAAAATACATCATGTTTTTGAGAATGACAACAAGATGTAACTTCAGCAAGCCTTGCTGTTGGCTACAAGCAAAATCAAAATCGGCGGAGAAGAGATAAAAAATAAATAAAAGGAACAGGGAAACACTTTATGCTTTACCCAATTACACATGCAGTGGCCAAAGGTACAGACTACTGTAAGTCACTCTGTTGCTACACAAGTCATTTCACACTTTTCTTACACATTTTATTTAATATTCAGTTTGTTCCAATTACTTTTTCCCTAAATAAATAAAGTGAAATGAATGGGGGTGTCAAAGTACCCGAAGAACCAAGAGCAAGATATAGCAGCCATTAGCTAAGGATGGTGATGAAAAAAATGTGCTGATAAGTCAATGATAGTAAGCAATGTAAAGTTGCAAGATTACTTCATAAATTTTATCTGTAGTTATTTTCTAATCTAATTCACATGCAGTAGTGTAAAGCTTCATGCACTTTGATTAATTGAATTTAATACAAAGTTGAATATGTCTGTTTTTACCACAAGAGAGCAGCATACTACTGTGAAGAATCAGCGACGCACTTCCCATGTGCTCCTGAGCAGGGGCGTCGCAAGCGAGGGAAAGATGGGACCGAGAACCTAGAGGACGCAGTTCGAAGTTCCCATGAAAGGGAACTTATATGTAACGTTTTGTTTGTATAACAACATGTATAGTGCATTCAGAAAATATTCAGATCCTTTATATTTTCAATGTTTCTGTTACACAGCCATATGCTGACATGTTATCATCATCTCAATCATCAATCAGCATTACGCAATTGTAAAAACAACTTTAATAAGTGAATTCAGAAAACAAATCACATCACGACCACAATCTCACTCCTCTCTCTTCCTCTTGAACCTTTAATTGACACACCAGGACACTGGAGCAAAACAAACCTTAACAAGCAAAACATTTCTTCGGACCTTCATGTAGCAGGCATAATCGACAGCCTATCTAAGGAACATTCTATAGTACGCACAAGGTCGTTAGATTACAATGAACTTGCTGCCTTGAAGACCGGAATCTCTCGCTGTGTGCAGAATCTTAACGGGCCATGAAGGAAAAGAAAGAGCGATACAATAAAAACAAGATATTTGTCCTCTGCCTCATCTTAAGAGAAACACCGGCCTATTGCACGCCTGCTGTTTTCTGGTGTTAAAAGCACAAAACCTCAAAGAACATCTGCTGCTTAAGTAAACAGTGAAAAGATTATTCACCTTTGTACATTTGAAATGAATCTAATGCAGTGGATCCCAATTCTGGAATTGGAAATCACTGGTCTAGTGGAATGATGTGTGGACTGATGATGATTAGCAAACTGATAATCTACAGAAGTGAATGGCCTCATAAAACTTGAAGTGGAGTTTTGTGGCTTTTAGTCCATGTCTGTTAGCTTTGTAAAAGTAACAAAATTAAAACTATACTGACATACTTCATGATTTTTAATTCATGATTTTCAATTTATGAATTTCTAAATGGTCCATACCACTGAAAGTGACAGAACATTATATTCTCCTATCTGACATTGTCCTTTCTGAACACCTCCCTTTATCTCACACAGGCAGACTGTTCATTAAATTCATAAGTCTCATGGAAGAGGTTGGTCAAATGATGGCGGAGGTTTGACTGATTTAATGAGTCTGCTGGCGAATGGTGAGATGAGTTACAGAGAGTCTGAACCTGAGCTGATTCATTTAGTGCCCACAGTCACTCATTTTAATGGGGAATTAAATTAGAATGACAGACAATAGGCATCACAGTGGGAAAGCTATTATTTATGATTATTTTCTCCTTCTCACAGGATGCCAAATGTTGCATGGGTAATAATAATAAAATAATCAAAAAAATACATTTTTAAAATACATTCTAAATATACATCATATAAAGTTATATAAATTCATGACCATTTTCTCATTGCACAGGACAAATGCTGTCAAATGAAAAAGAAAGAAAAAAGATTTATATATGGTGTCACTGTATAATATATATTGTTTTATAAACAGAAAATAATTTTGCATGAAAATTTTCTCCCTCTCTCAAAGGACACCAAATGCTGCAAGTATAAAAATAATAGTAATATATGATGTAAATGTAATGTTTATAAATACAATAACTTATTTGTTTTAATATATATAATAACATATATAATATTCTATCTATCTGTCTGTCTGTCTGTCTGTCTGTCTATCTATCTATCTATCTATCTATCTATCTGCCTGCCTGCCTGCCTGCCTGCCTGTCTGTCTTATCCCACATTTTCTGCACATTATATTTTCTGCTCGCAAACAGGTGAAAATAAGTCTGATCACACGCAGGTCACACACACTTATTTCACAAAAATTTGTGCCATGAATTATGCATAAAGTTTAATATGTCCTACACTAAGTATGAGCAATAGTAACCATGATTTTGCCCAAGCAGTTGATCATTGCTATAGCATGCAGCATTACTGTAACAAAATGCAGCTATGACATTTCTGTGAAACAAGGTAGCCTATGGCATCTCCACACAGGCCAGCGAGTTGAGCACAGAGCGAGATGAATCTGGGAGGCAATTATAGATGACATTCTCTGATGTTTGCATGTTGCACACCTCTGAAGGTTAGAAAGCAGCTCAAACTTATACTCCATCACTCCTATATATATATATATATATATATATGCTGTTGTGGATGCCATTGGCTCAACACGTTTTTTTTTCATAAAATGAAAGTCAACAAGCTCCAAAACAACTGGATTTCATTGTACTTTCATTTTATCGATTATCGATTTCATTTATCATTATCATTATTATTTGCTTTTCACTCCCTTCTCTGTGTCAATGCTAATAAGACATGTATCACATGTATCCTATCAGGAAACAGTGGAGAAAAATCCATTTAAAAGGATCTATCAAGGTCAAAAGGACAACAAGGACAACAAATAAAAATGAAGTGCTTACTAACAGTTTTTTTCTCCAATATCCACCACACGAGCACACACACACACACACACACACACACACACACACACCCAC